TGAAGGCTAGGATTTAGGATTTAAGATCTAGGAATTAGGATTGTAAAGAAAGGTTATATCATTATTATTATTATTGAGTGGATGGTATGTTAAGAAGCAAACGAGAACTGTATATCAGATCTCAGTCCTAGGGTGATTGACTACATGTTGAACATATTATACATATTGCAACCGACAAACACCAGAAGAAATACACATAATCCTAGAAATTACTCCACATACATATGCCTAACCAGAGACAAGCGACATAGACTAAAACCCTAACTAAAATCCCCCCCCCCCCAGCACAACAATGAACCCAGCAGTATGTGCCTACACCCAACCCCGAACCAATACCAACACATAACCTTCAAGTACCCGGATACTTCGCCATGATATCAATCTTCCGCAGCGGAGAAGTATCCTGTCCCCGTTGCCGGGAGACACTTCTCTCAAACCAAACCCCCACACCGGCGGCCACCCCCATGAGGATCGCCAGCCCGACAGCCAGTCCTGTCAGGACAAACGACGCCCGGGTGAGCGCACAGTCACGCGCAAAACGCGCCGGCGGCGGGGTGACGGTGTCATCTACCTTCGACGACAGCGGCCCATGCACCGTTTTCCACTTGCAGGTCCACGAATGGAGCGTTTCTACTTCCGAGAACCCGTTTGGGGGATTCGAGCCCGGGAGATGGATGGCGAATATGAGGCCCACTAGTGCTGTGAGGAAGCCCGAGATGGCGATGGCTGTGGTGGTGATGTTTTGTCGTTTGATATGTGCGTGGGGCTTGGGGGAGTTAGCAAAGATAGGTTGGGGGGCCGATAAACTTGTCATGGTACTAGCTGAGACAGAGCTAACTCACAGAAGGAAGCAGAGCGATGACGGTGTATGTTAAATTCAGGAATGCAAGGATGCAGCCGCAGGACAGCAATGCGACGGTCGGGCGGATGTCGAAGTTCAACGGCCAGAGATATAGCCCGACCTTGCCGTATGCTGATGTCGCTCGATAGTGCTGGAAAGGCACTGCCTCGCATCCTATGATGGAGACGGCGACGCCGAAGATGATGATACCCAGAGCGAGTCGGACCCAATGGAGATATTGAACCCTTGTGAGATATTTCGACTCGTCTGCATCTGAGGCGCAGGACACATGGTAGGAGACTGAACTGGTGGAGCCGGTATCCATATCAAGTACACTCTGAAGATACAGAATAGTATTGCACAATATCGAGTTAATTAGAAGAGAATTGCCTGCAACCTCTACAGATAAAAACAGAAGAAGATTATGAAAGGAGGGACTCAGAATTATAAAGCGAGCGACGAGCACAACGGCTGGGAAAAGAGACCAAATAAGAGATGAAGAAGGAGTTCGTAATCCTGGAGAACCAGGGAGCGTTTAAAATATTACAGCTTGTAAGCGCAGTTCTTTGGTTTGACCATCCATCAGTGGGTTCAGTTCATCCCCAGTCCAACAAATGCCGAGATGGCCTAATATAGATCACACCAGTCAAGTACTCGGATTAACCGCTCATGCACAAATTAGCTTCTGCAGATTTCTGCACGACCACACCTTAGCCATGGAAAAATAAACATAGGTCAATGCGCTCGCTCTAGACTGACCAGGGCGCTTAATGGGAAGAGATACACTCGGATACACCAATCAGCGGCTATTCTGGGTAGGCGTTCACGATGCATGAATCTCACAACTAGACCATCCTTACCCTATGATATGCTCAAGAAGACGCCACCTGGTTTCGTAGTGTGTTATAGTCGGCTACACATATGTCGATAGGCACAGTCATTGGCCTTGGACTGTATGACCCGCCGAGGTCGAGATTACCTGGGGGGCATGGTCTCTAGGGGTTCTAATATGAAAGGTCAAAACACAATCCTTGGATATTCAGGTAGAGTCTATACAGAGCAATTTCCGTGGTTGAAGTTGCAGTGAACTGTTTCATCGTGTCACGTTTCACATAAAGACTCCTAGACATTTCTCCGCCATTTAATGTATACGAAGTACACCGAGCTTCATATGGACGCTTAAGCGCCGTAGACTTGAGAATCTGGCTCCTCTAGAACTCATCGGTAAGTGTTCAAAGTAGAGCTATTTTTTGGCACTGAGAACTAGCTGTTGATAATAATATAAGAGAGAAAGTGGATAGAGAAGAACAAAGTTTCTTTTGGTCTATAATGAGAATATGAGATATGCACTTTGCATCACCTAGCCTATACAAGAGCCACCATGGACAACCTCATTACGTATACTCCCGCTCAGTTGCGATAGTCGAGTATCACAAGAATTGGTCCAGACATAAGCCGTCTAGAACCTTTCATTCTCTGGAGAAATTCATTGTAGGTCCGTTCCATTTGTGGCGCCCACGAACCAACCAATCCACACAAGCAAATACCATGACAAAACCAAGCACGGGGCCAGCGTAATTCATACCCTCAGGAGTTACCGGTACCTCAGGTGGGAAGGGTAAGAAGATTGCAAAGTAAGTGGCGAAAAGAATGGCCACCATATTTATCGGGAGACCCCATTTGCCAAGCGAGAATTCGCCCTTTGGAATATCTCTAGGGGCTGTAAAACGCTTGAATACTAGGAATACAAGAGGGATAAGGTAGGAGATAAATATGCCCTCAGTACTTAAGGATAAGATCGCATTGAACGCGGCGGTGGATCCGATTTGGATAAAGGAAAGAGCAACCACGCAGGCTGCCACGAGAAAAAGGGCTCGAACGGGGATTTTGAGGCGAGGGTCGACTTTGACAAAAAAGTTGGAGAATGGTAGACCGTTGTCTCGAGCGAAAGCCCAGGTCAACCGAGTGACGGAGGCGAGGCTGTTGAAGAGGGCAACCCAACCGGGGAGAATACCCAGCGCCATAAGGACATATGTAGCGGCGAGGTTGTTGCCGCTGGCTTGATAGGCGATCTGGATGACAGGATAGCCCGTCACGCTAGTAAGTGCCTCCTTGTAATTTCCCATGCAGTAAAGCACGGTGATAGCATAACTAAAGGCCATGACGGCATTGATAAGTGTACCCCAAATCATGGATCTTGGGATGGCAGTTTTCGCATTCTTGACTTCTTCGGCCATGTGAATGACACCATCAACACCTGAAGTATTTAGTGAAGTGAAGTGTATGGAGCTGCGCATAGACCAAAGCGTACCGGTAAAAGGCGCTATAACGCCCAGGAGTCCAACAGAAAATACCACCCCTGGGTCCTTCCAGCCACTGAGTCCACTGACAAAGTTGTCCCAAACAAAAGCGTCAGTATTTCGAGGGGCCAGAATGAGAAAAACAGCAATAGTCACAGGCAAGAAGACACAATGCATGATACCAGCAGCGACCTCGACGAGAGGGAGGAGGCGACGAGCAAAGACATTAATGATGATTGGGATAAGAAGGACTGCCCACATAAGCAAGGTGCCATGCCATCTTTGTTTGTCGTACTCAGGATGGCTCAGGACAACCATTCCTGCGATCTGGTTACCGATAATGAACGGGGCAATGCACACAAGGGCGGCCCATGAGAAAACCTATGTTTAATCTTAGCATGGTACCCGATGAGCCTTGAGAAGACAATGTCGATCGTACCGTGACCCATCCTGGATAGTGACAATTTAGTGCTTTAATTAAATAAATGTTGCGAATCCTGATCAAACCGCCTACCTTGGAAGAAGCTAAAGAACCGACGATACCCCGGGGCGAGGATATATGTCCAATGATACTGTGCGCCAGCTGTGGGATGTCTAGTCGATATGGTCAGCGATGTCATCTCTGCCAGAGTGTATTCGGTATCTCGTACACAGTAGCCAGCTCAGCTAAAGAGCAAGCAATTGCCAAGTTTCCGATTGCACTGATGATAAGCCCATAGACAATAACTGCAGGGCCGCCATTGAAAAGACCGGCCTGCAAACCTGCACCCGTTGTCTCCCACGAAGCAACTAACGTGGCAGAGAACGCCAAGGAAGAGAAGAAATTCAAATATCTCTATTGAAACAATAGGGCTCAGCATACGAAATGCAATTCATTGAGTCAAATAGCACATACTTCTAACTTCTGTCCCTGGCGATACTCAACGCCGCCATCATAAGCTGCTGGCGCTGATTGAATAGCACTGCCACTTTTCATCTCAACTTCGTCGTCATACATCTTCTTACCTAAGGTGAATCTGGCATACAAGCTGAAAGGCCCGAGAACAAAGAGTGATATTCAGAATAAGGGGTAGTAGGTAACGTTCCCTTTTTAAGCGTCGGGCGTCGAACGAAGCATTGGCCTGGATAATGGGATGATGGGATCGAAAGGTCCCATTCTCCTAGACATGGTGCTTGCAAGTAAATTAATTAATGCGGGTATTTCATATGCCTCGGTTATACCCCTGTATGAATCCATGTCGCTGTCGAGAGAGATCTGCGACGCTGTTGCAGTATGATCTGGAAGAGTTGTAACTCCAAAGGAAGCCAGCATGCGAAGGGCTGATGCTTGCGCACACCCTAAATAACATCCACCATTATGATTGAGGGATTCTGCCGCAGTGGGGAAGGCTAACTGCGCGGAATAGTCTTAGTGCTTCCCTAGCAGGAGCCGGGCTTCTGATCCCCGTCTCTTTGTCCCTCAGGGATTCACAACTAGTTAGCCCTACCACATCACTGCCAAGTCCGGCGATTACTACGTTAGTTGTCTCAGGATAGCAATCCCGGTCGTAATGCGCTCTGTGACTGGTAAACTATGCACCTCGTCTGGTTTAAGAGTTTTTCTCTTGCGTGGTCCTGTGGCATCCCGCCGGAACACGGCGTGCTTCAGGCAGAGCCAAGTTCGGAGCCCCTGGGGCACGATCCTGATGGACGTCGCGAAGTCTTCATCCAGTTGGAGCATGGATTATGATCCGACTCCCCAGGGATGCATCCAAATTCAAAGCTCGTAGACCTTATAGTCATACTCGAGGCTATGCTGCCTTCTCTCTCAATCCTCTCCTGCCGATACGTCTTGACTATGGTGCCCTCTTGTGTTGACCATGTCCAATGCAAAAGCCCCTTACCAGGCCCTCTCAGATGACAACCGTGGGCCACTCATCACTCTTGTCTCTGTTACTCTTCTCATCGTTACGTTCATCTTTGTTGCCGCAAAACTGGGATCAGTGATATACTTCAAGCAACGGCGGCCGGCAGTCAATACTCCCATCTGGGTGGCTCTAGTTGGTACCCGTCTGAGTGATTCAAATACACACTTATCCTGACTACATACCCCATCAAGATACTGTCAATCGTCCAGGTGGTGCTCATGCAAAAGTCCATCCAACATGGATTGGGAAGACATATACAGACGCTCACGTCGGCCGAGATACGTCAATCCAGCAAAGTAAGCCGAGCACGGCCATTCTCACAGCAAACCCTACTTATCCCCATGTCCAAACCACTTACACTCTCAGTTCTATTACGCCGCCCAGCTCACCCACATCATCATTCTGTCACTCTCAAAGCTCTCAACCACACTCCTCCTCCGGACCCTAACCCCAAGCAAAGGCATCCGCCAAAGCTGCACCATCACTGTCGGCCTCATAGGCGCCTGGACAGCATTCGCGTTCTTCGGAATCGCCTTCCAATGCCCCCTCCCAGAGCCCTGGCTCTACACGTCCGAAAGATGCACAGGGGCAATGCTCTACCCAATCTCGACATTCCACATCCTCACCGAGCTAATCATACTCGCAATCCCCTTCATCATGATGCGCAACGTGCAAATAACACCAGCCCGAAGAATGAAAATCCTCTGCTCCTTCTCAGCCCGGATCACGCACGTCCCCCCTTCGATAGACTCATATCTGGCAAATTGAACTAACGTAACTACCCAAAAACAGGGTCATCGGCCTCGCAATCGCCCATCTAGCCCTCCTGCCCCCGTTCCTCAACTCACCAGATACAACATGTCCGTTTCCCCCCGGCCTCTATGTACCATCATCCAAAAATCTAATGGAAATATACAGGGACAATCGTCAACCCAACAATCTGTGCACAAGCCATGATGTGCGTCTCCGTTACCATCGCCTGTCTGCCAACCCTCTATCATATATTCGCTGGCTTCCACTCCGGTCTTCTTACGACTCGACTGCCGGATGAAGTGGAGCTCGGACATCCTGATCGAAGTGTCTATGATACAGGTCGTAGGACTAAATGTAGCTTTTATACGGATACCGCGCGCTTGAGTAATATGACGCCGTCGGTGGTTACGGATATTACTTCTTCGCGGAGGAATCGGGAGAGGGCGAGTGAGAGTACGGAGAGTTTGGAACGTTTGACGCGGGTTTCGACTCGGGAGGGCGTGCTTAGGACGGTGGATATTACAGTGGAGGTGCAGGAGCAGGTGAGGAGGTGAGGGGTTGGTTTTTGGTTTGGGTTGGAGCTGTGGATTTCTGTGGATTCAAAGGGAAGGGAGTGTAGGGCATAGTATAGCGTTGGAAGTCGATTCCGCTAATAGCTGTTGAATACGTTATGTTTCTCTGGCGCGATTTTTACTTCTGTATAATCTTTGGGCTTGCATGATTCAAGTCATGTTATATTTGCAATAAACGGGGATATCTGTCAATCTCTGATCCGGAACAAATGGTAATGGTAGAAGGATAATATGCGTCGTAAATGATCTTTGAAATGCTTCTTCTTGATCTGATTTTGAACAATGAAATAGTACCCGGAAGACCTAGACCTCAGTGGATGCACTATTCTAGCCCTTTCTGACGATCATACCGCCAGATGGCCAGTAGAGGCACCATCAAGAAGATCCCCCCGCCAGCCATGACAACACCGCTGAATACCTGCAGTCCAAGATACCCATTTCCTCCGCCATGGCCCTCAATGGCGCCAGCAATAGGCGCCCCAATCAGCACCCCCAGCTCGCTGTAAACCACAGCATGCCCATACGGGTCCCAATCATCGCCGGAGTGGGTGAGACAACGGGGTGCGCGATCACCAAAGGATTTGCTGATATCAGAGCTCCGGAGGAGATGCCAAATAATACACAAAACGTGATGAAGTAGGCCTGCGTCTTGACGCCAATCCAACCCAAAATCAACGCTGCCGATGTGGTCACACTGACACTCAGGATCAAGCCAGCGCCTAGTCGTTGCGTCAACAACGCTGACCCTAAACGGCCCACGGCAGAGCCGGCGTTCAAGATTGACACGAGATAGAAGCTCATTTCTGTCGAAGTCTCGAGGACCTGCGAGGCAAAGAAAGGTACATAAAACAGCGGTACGAAATAGGCCATGAACATGAGAAAATTAGCGGCCCCGCAGGCATTGAAGCTCCACTCCTTGAACGCACCCCAATGGATTAGCTGTCGTGGGGAACTGCGTTTCGGCTTAGTGGTCGCCATCAGCAGAGGAACCGCGATACATGAACAGCCCAGTTGGATGAACCCCATTACTCGCGCCGTCCAGGGGAAGCCGATCTGAGGCTGCAAGTGTATGAAGATAATGGGAAATAGAACTCCGCCTGATGTTTGTTAGTCATGAATAGGGCTTGCAGTAAGCTATCAGGCTATCGATAAATACCAATACTGGCACCACAGGTCACCAGGCCGAGGGCAATACCCTTGCGGCTCGTGAAGCTGGTTAACACTAGGGACAGGGCAGGCACATAGATGAGCCCGCTACCGATTCCGCAGCAGAATCCCTGGGATAAGAGCACTTGGTAGTACTTTTGAGAAAGGCTTAACATCATAAGACCAAGCGTAGTCAAGAAGCATCCGGCGACCATAAGATGAATTAAGAAACCCCGGTCGAACAGTGGGCCAGCTATAACACCAGTGGAAATCAGAAAGAAGGCATTAACAGTGCCAATCCACGATAGCTGTGACGGTGAACTATCTCTTAAGAGATCCGTCTGGTAAAAGTGTTGGAAGGCGCCGTAGGCCGTCGAAAAGCCCCAGGTGGTGAAAAACAAGAGAAAGCCAGCAAACACACCCACCCATGCTGCAAAACCACCGTTTGGGGGAGAAGGAGCTGGCGAACTCGCCGGGGGTAATATAGCCGTCTCTTGAGGTGCTATGGTAGGCTTATCGGTGGCAACCATAGTTGCGCACCTTCCATTGATGTTCTGGCTCACACACAAAGGTAGAGAACTCAACCATCGGAAGACCGGTGTGACGAGCAGAAATGAAGTATATGTATACGCTGGTGGGGAAAGAGGTTAAAACCATGATGTCCAATAGACAAAGGTACCTCAACCCTAGTAACAAAGGCAATACCAGGAGCTATCACAGACTATCGAAAAGCCATAGTTTAGAGCCTCGGCACAAAGTCTTTACGACTTTGTTAGCTTCGTCGCTCTCGTCAGCATTGTTTGAATGCGACGACACGATTGGACTGACCAGTCCAAGACACGAGTCGTTTCCAAATGAGCCGGGGATACTTTTCCTATTATAGAGGAAGCCTCCAACTTCCAAGGAATCCGTCATATGGGATGACTTAATACCGGGATTCTTTGATGCCACGCTGTCTAGCCAATAACGACACTTAGGGCTGATGTGAGCTGCGGCTGCGGCGCGACGAACCTCAGAATCTCCCAAAAAGCTCACAACAAGACAATTAGGAAGCCTCGTTCTTACCTCTGCTTGAGTCAATGTTCTACCTTGGCTGACCTCTTCGTTTTTTCAGTAAGATGTAGCAGATGAGCCAGCTCACTGTCACGTAATGCCCTCTTGTATCGCCCCTTCGGGGTGTGATTCTATCACTAGTCCTGTCGCCCTCTGTCATAACTCCACATTAAGGATCGCCGTGAGCCAACTCTACGTCTAGGGAATCACCATATTATCCCTGCTGTGTTCCCATATAACCAGCCAACCAGCTCCAGCTTACTTAGACTATCCCATATCAGCCTCCCGAAAGATTTGGAATAGTTGTCAACTTCATTCGTGACGCCACCGCCCAAGGGTATCACTTGGCAGTGCTACCTTTGACGAACTGGATCCCTGACGATCCTAGATTTGGACCCCTGTGCGCCAATTGGGAGGCCCATCTTCGACGGTACCAAGCGCTAGCTAAGAGAATTAGCATTTGCATTGTGCCCGGATCGATTGTCCAGATGCTTCCAGACCAGAACGCTCTGGTCAATCGACCCAAGTTGGAAAATGCGCCCACTTCATATCCAATACCGGTGAAGGCCTGGACCGATGGAGTGTAGACCTCTCCAATCATCTGGAACAGTCCCCTCAAGTAATCTAGGCTCCTTTGGATCCGGTGGAATTGCTTGTCTGGTGGGATTTGGCATTTCCCGGAAGCCAGGCAAGAGTTTATACATCAAGGTGCGAAAATCACCATCGTGTACACGCTATAGGCACAAAGCGGAGCCACCGGTGCCTGCCATCGGTGGAAACCTTCAGTAAACTAGCCAAAGAGAAGTCTCGGATATGTCATGGGGTGATGATTCAGTCAACAGAGAAATACTTGTACACTTTCAAATTTATCGGTCGGTCGGTAGGAACTTGATGAGCCCCACCCAATCAAAGCAAAGGCTGCCCCGCGATTTAAATCGGAAAAAAATCATGGCGGGGAAAAGGAAAAGAAACATACAATCTACTAGCAGAGTAGCAATTGAGAACTGGTCGGTGATCTCCTCTCTACCCCCCTTTGGCTAACTCTTCTGACCGAGCATTCTATTTTCATTTCTAGAACAACACTTTCGCCATGCCTCTCTCCAAGCTCCAGGGCGCGAAGCTCCCCGCGTCGGCCGACTTCCATGGTGCGTTGACCCCAATGTACTCCACGACAATAATTGACCGGGAAGCGCTGCGCAGTACACCTTCGCGATGGTGACATGATGGACCTGGTTACGCCTACAATCAGACAAGGTGGTGTGAACACCGTTTTCGTCATGGTAAGGAGTTGATTGATTCCAATGGACCTCGGTCTAATACATTCGATACTCATGGGACTGGAACAACAATTTAGCCCAACCTGGTGCCGCCAGTGACAACCGTCGACCGCGCGCTCGACTACAAGAAGCGCCTGCAAGCCATTGAACCCAATGTGAACTTCCTCATGTCGCTGTACCTCCACGAGTCCGTGACCCCGGAAACCATCATCGACGCCAAGAAGCGCGGTATCACCGGTGTCAAGAGCTATCCAGCAGGCGTTACCACCAACTCGTCCTCCGGTGTGGTGGATTATACCCAGTTTTACCCGGTCTTTGCAGAGATGGAGCGTCAGGACATGATTCTGAATCTTCATGGAGAAGTCCCTTCCACTGGCGATGTGACCGTCCTGTCGGCGGAGGAGCGCTTCCTCCCCACTTTGTTGCAATTGCACGAGCGTTTCCCTAAGCTCCGCATTATTCTGGAGCACTGCACTACAGCAGCTGCTGTAGAGGCCGTGAAGAAGTGCGGCCCTACCGTGGCAGCAACGTTGGTCCCCCGGTTACACTTTGCAATGGATACATGCTGACGGTCAGGGATCAAAAGCATTACCGCCCATCATCTTTCCATCATCATCGACAACTGGGCTGGCGACCCGTTCTGTTTCTGCAAGCCTGTCGCTAAAACACCTGCGGATCGTGACGCTCTCCTGCGCACAGCAGCATCTGGCAACCCCAAATTCTTTTTCGGCTCCGATAGTGCCCCTCACCCGGCAGCCTCCAAGAGGGGTGGAGACAAAATCGCGGCGGGCGTCTTTACCCAGCCATACACAACCCAGGTCGTGTTGGACTCCTTCGAGCAGGCATGTGAAAAGGGTATCCTCAAGGAGGAAGACATCACCCCTGAGGTGGTTGAAGGCTTCATGAGCAAATTCGGCCGCCAATTCTATGGTATTGGTGAGGAACAGAAGGAGTTCATTACCCTCGAGAAGAAAGACGAAAAGATCGTAAACCTTTTGCAGTCGGACAAAGTGGACGTGGTCCCATTCAGACGGGACCAGCAGACATGGAGCGTGTCCTGGTCTTCCTAAGCCCATATTGACCTTATGCCAGAAATAAATTGCTATCACGATAGCCAATGGCGCATGACTATGCCATCCATTTCCGTCCATCGTCCTTCTTATTCTGACATTTTGTCGCCTTGCGTAAGCATTCCTGTGACCGCCTCGAGCGCCTGCGCTTCGGAAATATCGATCTTTCTTCCGGCGACAACAGGATTGCCGTCACAGCCCACCCCAAGCTGGCCAGTTCGTTCGAGATGCAGGCGGATTCTGCTCTCGATGTATTCCCTTCTCTCGTCGCGTTTAGAATTTGCTTCGGTGGTGTCCGCCGATTTAGGCAGAGTAGCTAACTTAGGCCGGAGCTGCTTCAGTAGCGCTTGCAGGGCTGGCAGTTGAGATAATATAAAAGTCGTATTCGTGGTGAGCGGTGTGTGTTTAGCATTCGACCCAACAGCAGCGCCAACTCGTAATTGCTTCGCCGCGGGGCTCTCCGTTAAGAATGATAGATCCAAGTCTTTGTTTGTAGGAAGTGCAGGCGTCTCGGAGCTGCCCTCCTGTTTAGCACTTGTCGCGCCGTCGGCTCCTTTAACGGTGGATAAGATCGATCGCAGCTGGGAGATGACCGCATCGTTCCGAGCGGTCTCTTGTTTCAAAGCTCGGTTCAATTTCTTGGTTTCCTGTAATTTTTTGCGTAGAGCAACAATCGTGTCCGGGGTAGGTGCGTTGGAGGACGGATTCAGATCCAGGCCCTGAAACGATACATTGTCAGTTTTTACCCAGGACCATTGTCACCCAAACACATAGCGCACCTCATAATGCTTTAGTCGAATCCACCCTAGCAAGTCATCGTCCACTCGAAACGAGTTTCGCAGGACAATAATCTCGAACTTATCAAATGCCTTGTCGACGGTCGCCTCAAGAAGGGTTTCAAGTTTGTGCAGTCCATCTTCTATCTCCAGTCTCGCCTCAGGGTAAACAACGTTCCCATCCTCATCTGTATCTGGGATGGTCGAACCGTTGGTCGCGTGTGAGAAACCCAACCGCTCGGGAGGGGTGGAGAGCAAGCCGGCTTCGAGACTCGAGATAGCTTGATAGATCAGATTATTGATCGAGTTGATCACGTCATCTACAAGGGACTGCGACCAGAGTATTAGCTTCGGTTATCTCAAGAAAAAGTGGTATGAGGGGTAAGGGAGGCGCATGTCTGAGACAAGGCGTTTACCAGAAATACTGACCAGCGGAGTATAGCTGAAATGCTCTGTGAGCAGAGACTTTGTCGCGTCATCCATCTTTATGAGGTCCTTAGACTGGAATCATGCTTTGTCTAAGCAAATGGAAAGTGTAGGTGGGGGAGTCCTCTTCATGAGGGTCGCGTTGCGCGGGAAATCAAACAATAGTTGAGTTTCTCTGAAGGTCCTCACGCGAACGATAATTTGCCAAGACCGTAACATTGTTTTGTCCCTTCGATCCAATCATTCCTCCATGGTCATTTAATGGCTTCTCTTGACTGGGCCCCAGATCAAAGAGAGCACTTCAAGACTCTCTAGGACCCACTAACACGCTGTAGGATCGGGAAACATACTTGTATATAATCCAGTTTTCCCAATATATTTCCGTCTCCCTTCTCTCCACTCGTTTTATGTTTACCGTTCCAAATACACGAGTCATCCCCACTGCCCTAGCCAGCCCAGGTTGATTGGCATTCTATGTTACCAAATGAAGCAGATGGGGAAATTAATCCATGACTATGTATTCAGACCAGACGAATCATGACGCAAATGCTAATTGGTCTGACAATATACAACAATTGCCGGCAGCGGCAGTGAGAACGAGGCCTCCCTCTTCGTCAGACTATGAAGTACTAGCCTCCAGGAATCTTGTTGACATGATGCATCTTATATTGTGGGGGCATTGTGTCATAAGCTGGTATTTGTGTTGCACTGGAGGCCAGCCTTGGTTTATGGGAGAAAGACACCAATAAGGAGTTTCACTCTGAGCATGGCATACTTCATGTGTCAGATGTGAATCAGATGAGGCTTGAAGCGAAGATATCTGTCACTTGTCTTTGCATGTTCCAGGCAGTGATTCCATCCCAACTAGAATTACACCAAGAACTGCAGACAACCGAAAGCAAAAGCTGCACTAAAAGACAGTGTGCTACTATCACTAACTTGGCTACAGCTACTATGTTCACTGCGGAAGTACATTCCTCCCATATGGAGAGTAGTGCCTTCCTGTTGCAGTGAAGAGTTTCGACTTCTCCACGATGTGAGCTAGGGAAGGAGAAGGGAAATACACGACGACTCCTGCAATTGTCTGTCTTTCCTCATCTGTCTTTTTTCTTTTCTTTCAACAACTCACCTGTGGCGCTCTAGCTATAGGGCACTTAGTTATAGCTAAAGAACTGTCGCCCTAATCTTTAACTAACACATCTCATACATACTTAAGATGGTCTCGGGACAACAGAAATTGGACTTATCTCTCCTGAGACGACGACATGACCCCTCGCCGACATCTTCCGCGAGCCTTTCACCAACAGTTCCCACCCTTGAATCACCGGTGTCATTTCAGGCGTTGGCAGTCAGAGCCGTCTCCGACACGACGATGACACAGCGAAACAAGCTCGATAGGCCGCCCGCTAGGCCTTCCATGTTCATTGAGGAGACGGATGATGATGATTCAATGCTTCCAAAACTGACTCGTGGCACACCTGCAGACCCGAAGTCTGCAGGTGTGATAGGTAAAAGCGTTGAGGAGGAGCCAGTGCGACGAGCAAAAAGTCAGTACTTCGACGGTTTTTTCAGCGCACGCGGGCAAGAGCTGTCACTCAGGGATCGATTGAGTCAAACATCAGTCATTGTGGCTGAGCTTAAGCTTAGCAAGACGGTACGTGTGTGCTACATCCCATTTGGAGCTCGAAAACCTCTAGAAACTAATAGCATATTCAGGTTACAGACGATGAAGCCCTTGTTTCGGTGGTCTCATCTCGCTTAGCGCATATCTATCAGAGACACGAATCGTCTATGATGGTTACCATACAGCAGAATGTATGTATTCGCTTTGGTACCTCGAAGGACCCATCATATTTGTTGAAGCTCTACACACTCCCATGCCTCATAGGCTCTATCACCAATCTTCGCCGCACCTCTCTGATCCAGTCAGCTCTGAGGGACCTTCTGCAGATTGAACCGTATCGCGGTGTAGTCCTTTATCTTCCAGTTCCTGAAGAGAACTTTGCGACAAATGGTGTGACTTACATGGGCGAAATCGCACGCCATGAACCTCGGACCGATGACGATGACCCGGGTATCCTCCGAAACATCTCACGGGGTTTGAGTAGAAGGCTGAAATCGAACAGCGCCCACAGCGCGCCTCGTTCTGAGGCAACAACTTCTTCATGGGATCCTGAAACTGATGCTCGAACGTCAACATCAGTGAGAGGAAATGATTCTTTGCAAAGCGAGGGCTCTCGAGAAGCAGAGGCGTTAAGCCAAGGCAACAGTAGAGGATCCAAGAGTCTGCGACACTTCCTTTCCCGTCGCGTGCAGAACCCTACTGGAGGAGTAGAGGACAAGCGGTAATGGTGGGCCTTTTTCTCCCTTCTCTTCTGTATTAGTTTTCATGTCTTTTGTTGTATGGCATAACGAAGTGAACGCGCTGTCTTTTTTATAATTGGCCCGGCTGGCTCAGAAACATTGAGAACCCATTGGCAGGTACTAGCTGTAGTTAACTCTGTACACCGATATCAGTTCAGGATATCTTTTAACATGCTATGAGGCAATTGCCCTATTGTTTTTAACATCATCCGCTCTTTCGGAAATACCACTCCGTAGTCATCGACAAACACGAGCCGCGTAATGCAACTTCCTCTTGTGACTCACTTGCTATTCATCTCGACCTTTGAATGCATCTCTACACTTGAAAGTCTCAACACAGCAAGCTGATAGTGAAGAAAATACAGAGATAGCCTCACCATGGCTTCGAAAGTAACCAGCAGCAGCATAAGAGAAATTCAAGGCGATCTCTTCGACGCGCCAGACGGAGCAGCCTTGATCCGTACGTGACCTAGGAAATCAAGATGTCTTTACAGCTAACATGGCTATCTTAGACGCATGTAACTGTATCGGGTCCTGGGGCGGCGGGATTGCAAAAGCCTTCAAACAGAAAGTACTTACTATATCACCCACCTCTATCCTGTCCCTCCCATCAATCAACCATTAACCAACACAGTATCCGGCTGCATACAACATCTACCACTCGCACTGCCAGAAATACAAATTCAGCCCGGAGTCCATAGTAGCTCCAGACCAGCCAAACAATCCACAGCTGTCCACCAGAAACAGAAATATCCGATTACCGGAGGGCACAGCTCTCATCATTCCGCCCCAGGAAACGGACTACAGGGGTAAGAGCAAGAAACACTGGATCATCTGCCTGTTCACTTCGCGCAATTTCGGGAAGAGGGTCAGTCCGCCTGAGGTCATTATCCAGAATACTGAGCTCGCTGTCGCAGATATGGTGAGGCAGATCGATGAGCTTCGTGCTGACGAGTCGGGAATTGGGGAGCTTTGGTCGTGTCGCTTTAACTCGGGGCTGTTTGGTGTTAAGTGGGAGCTTTCAAGGAGGGTTTTGGAAGAGTCGGGTCTGGATTTTACTGTTGTACGGCCGGAGGATGAAGATGAGTGATCTTTCTTTCTTTAGTATCTTCCTGGTGTTTCAAGGTTGTTGGATGCATGAACATGGACCACAGATGCTGTTTATTCTTATTCCATATGCAGTCCCAAAAAGCCAATGTCTTCAATATTATTTTTAATATATTACAATCTATTTATTTCCCATAAATTATACTGAACATTACCCATTTCACAAAAAACACATAGATATCAACAAATCACCTGACTTCGCG